CCCTCGTTTTTCAGTTTTCAGGCTGAAACGACCGGGGCCTGTAGATCCTAAGTTTTAGGCTTTTAGGCTGAATGTCCGGGACAGGTCCTACAGGGCCCGTGTGGCTACGCAGTATGCCACAATATCCAAGGTCGCTCTGCTCTGTCCGGCGTTCAGCGCCCAGCCAGCAGGAATGGGTAGAGGCTTGAGTATCCATGACCAGCAAGAATGGCCAGATGTGCCTCTTGCCATTCTTCCTGGTCATGAGAGTATCCATGAAGTCCATGGAAATACTCTGCCCTGGGCCAGCAGGAATGGGTAGAGGCTTGAGTAACCCAAGCGGAGCTTGAGTCCGCGGCGTGTCCCGCTGACAGACCTGACAGGTCTCTACACACTTCTTTGCATCGTCTAGCATGTTAGGCCACCAGAATCGTTGTACTAAATTAGCACTAATTTCCTTATAGCCGAAATGTCCTGTTGCGTCTCCTAAAAATAAACTACGCAAATTGTCTTTAGCCTGAAGTTTGTTGATGATGTCCATCGTGATGGGATCTTCCTTGTAGGCTTCCCCCAGAGATCGAGTCACGTCGTTAGATAATCCAAACTCAGAAATCAGCGCACCTAGGTAATCTGCCCTCCTAGACAACGCATCTGCAACCTTGTTGTACTCTCCCTTCACATAATCTAGTTTGAAGTCATACTGATCTATGACTTCAATCCAGCGTTTGAGTGCGTCGGAGAGAACTGGTCGTGCCTTGATCCACTTGAGGGTCTGATGGTCAGTTCTCAAGTAGAAGAACCTTCCTAATAGATAATGTCTCAAGTGGACAAGTGCCTTGTAAAGAGTGTAGAGTTCCCTCTCGTAGGTGGACTTTGCCAACTTCTTTGATGGCATCTTTTTGCTCATGTACTCGACCGGTCTCACTTTTTTCCCTTCCTGCTGAGCCAACACGGCGCCAACGTCGTATTGGCTTGCGTTAGTGGTTACAACGAACGGCCTTCCCGGGTCAGGTACCATGAGAACCTCATCATGTGAGAGAGCATGCTTCAAACGCTTGAAAGCTGCCTCACACTCGTCGGTCCAGTCCCATGGTGTGTCAAGTCGAGTTAGATCAATCAAGGGAGATGCGATCGTACTATAATTCTTTATGAAGTTGCGGTAATAACCACACATCCCCAAGAATGATCTGACCTCAGTCACAGACTGGGGTCGTGGCCCGTCACGTATACTAGCCACCTTGGCATCTTCGGGCCTAATACCATCCGCGGATACTTCATGACCCAAGTACAAGATTCGAGTGCGACCGAACTCGCATTTCTCTTCATTTATCTTATACTTGTGTTGCCGAAGGAGTGAAAGTACTTTGTCTACATGTTGAGCATGCTCCTCGACAGTTCTACCAAAGATAAGTATATCGTCGAGGTACACGACGACGAACTTATCCAAGTAGTCATGGAAGATCCTATTCATGGCGTGTTGGAATGTGCCCGGCGCATTGCAAAGGCCAAAGGGCATCAACACAAACTCGTACAAACCGTACCTAGTCTGAAATGCGGTTTTGTGTTGGTCCTCTGGTCTTATGGCAATCTAATGGTAGCCGGATTTTAAGTCTAGCTTTGTATAGTGCTTACATCCATGCACCCTATCCAATAGGTCGTCGATGCGTGGTAGAGGCTCTGCGTTCTTAACAGTGATGGCATTGAGGCCTCTATAATCAATGCACATCCTTAGTGTTCCCCCTTTCTTTGGAATAAACAGGACTGGTGAGCCAAAGGGGGAAGTGCTAGGCCGTATCCAACCCTTTTCTGTGAGCTCTTTCAGTTGTCGACGAAGCTCGTCCAACTCGGTCGGTGCCATCCTATAGATTTTCCCTTTAGGTGTCTTGCTACCTAAGATGATCTCTATGGCATGGACAACCTTCCTGTCTACGACTTCTGAGGGCTCCTCGAACAGATCAGGGTACTTAGCGACAATGGTCTCTATCTCTGGGGGTGTTTTAACGGCCTCCCCTTTTGCAGAGACATAGACTAAGTACATTCCTTCCTCTTGGTCCTATTTACAATAATTATAGAAGGCAGATGAGCATACGCACCCATAGGAGTCTATTAACCTACTGGCTTTATATTTGGCCAGTCTAACGGTCCTCCCATTAGGCAACTCGTGCTTCAACACCTTCTTGTCCCAGTCAAACTGGGGCTTGGCAACCTCGAGGTAGTACATGCCCAATAACATGTCTAAGGGCAACTCATCGCTCACCAGGAATGATATCTTATGGTTTATCTCGGATGATATCTTATGGTTTATCTCGCCTCCTAGGTAGGAGAAAGTGCAGACTACATCTTTACCGTAGTCCTCAACCATCATGCGCTCTTTGTTGGGCAAAGTAGATGCTACCGGTCTACTAAGGCGCTGCACCCCGTCCTTTAGGCGCAGTCTGTCAACGCAGTCGCGACTTATGAAGTTTCGTGTGGACTCGATGTCTACGAAGGCGCTGCACTTGCGACCACCCACACCAACTTCCACAACGAAATGCTCCCCTCTAGGACCTCTACTCAGTTCCACCCAGGACTCACGAGGGTCCCTTGCCGACCACTCACCTTGAAGGTCCTCTAAGGCTTCAGACACATCCAACGTATAGAGTATAGTTGGGTCCGGATGCGTCTGCGGGGTGACTAAGGAGTCAATAGCTTTGGCCAACTCTTGAACCAGGGAGGGTACATCACCCGCTTCAACGAGAGTAGAAGCAGCTACATCTTCAGCTACATCTACCGGCCCTAAGTGTTTCCCGAGCTGCAGCTCGTAGAGGCCCCAGACTGAGAAGAAGGAAACCCACCCTTAGCAGGGATCTTCTGCGAGACCTTCCGGTTCTTACACTTAAACTGTGTATGGCCGTACTCACCACAGTTTATGCAAGCACCTCGTGACCAATGGTCCCACCACACTTCTTGATCCAGGCCTGCTCTAACCCAAGCTGCTATTTTGTTTGGGTTGGCAGCCTGCCCCTGACTCCTTTGCTGACCGCCCTTGCCGCGGCCACCTGCCTTATCTTAACTAACGCGGCGAGGTTGCTACCCTCGGCACTCTCCTCGCCGTCTAACTCTGCACCCTCCACAAGTTCAAAAACATCATCGATTTCAGTTTGATTCCCTTCGGAATCAACCATCATCAATCGACTACCCTTCTTCTTCCATTCTTGTGGAGTCTTATTCTTTCTCCCGTCCGTAGAAGGGGTTTGAGCACTACCCAGCGTAGCCTCTAAGTCTAGGGCCTTGTTGAATGTCTCAAATGTGTGATACTCTCTACGAGCCTCACTAGTAATAAGTTCTTGATGTCTATGGGAAGACATCTCAAGAATGTGGTCAACAAGACCTGTGGATTATACTCCACTCTTAGGACAACGATCAGGCGCTCTACGGTCGTGGTAAGCTCTCGCACCGACTTGAACTTCCTAGCATCAAGCTTTAATAATTCATCAGTGGCAATTTGTGCCTGCTGAGGATTGTGCCACCGTGCTTCCACTAAGTCCATAAAACTTTCTAGGTTGTGGGTCTGCGCCCAATCACCCATGTTCTTGTCGAACCCCTTTGAAGCTACCAATCCATTTAGCCAGCGAGCTGCTGAACCCTAAGTAGGATGCAGCAGTAATCACTTCCTCCTCTACCAACGTCCTCTTTGCCCTCACCCACATTGGTACCGTTCTCAACCATGTGTCGAGAGCCTCATCCTTCTTGTCTCCTGAGAAGGTTGGAGGTGGTTTCAGGGGGGTTTGGGGACACCAAGGAAATTGTTGTCCCGCTGGCGAGACAGGGGACAATTGTGGTGTAGCACCAGTCGCTGGAGCGGAAGATGAAGAAGCAACAGTCTGAGATAGGGCTGCTGCTGATGTACCACTTGGTGGCGGTCCGAACTGAGCGGCATAGGGGCATGTCGTCGCTGAGAATGGCAGCGATGGCAAGACTGTTGGCCTGATTCCTGGCCTGTGCATGGCGTTCAGGATCTGGTCCAAGGTGTCCTGGATGGTATCCAGTTTACTATCCATGTATGCATGCATGGACAGGACGCTGGCCTTAAGAATCTTTTCATTATTGCTAAGGGTCGAGTCTTCTAACCCCTCCAGTGCAGCCTTGTCTGCCTCCCTACCCTCTAGTCTGACACTCCTGTCTCTAATCTCTTTCTCTCTTTTAGTAGCCTGTCTGAGTTCCTGCTCTAGGCTTAAGGGAATCCTCTCTATTTGGAGCTCCATCTGCTCCCGGGTGTGTGGAGGTAGCGAGCTGAACTGCGAACCCGCCATCTGACTAGTGCCAGTTCCCTACGTACTAGAGATGGACTGTGAACTGGTTGCATGACCAGTAGAGTTTGCAGCAAAAGTGGCTGAAGAGGTAGCCATTGCTACCACGCTAGCTGCTGCTGTTGTTAACGCACGTTCAGCCGCTGCTGCTGCCTCTCTCGCAGTCTCTAGATTGCGGGCCCTTGTCTCGGCCCTAAGCCTTTTCTCGTCTCCTGGTACTAGAACCTGGAACACAACGGGTATCCTACCGGTGTCCCGTCATGTCTGCCTCCTATCGTCAGATTTATCCTCCCCACCGTCTGATCCGCTCATGAGCTAGGCAGACGTTGTCTGCACTAATGTCCTCTCTGGGACTTACCGCAGCATACGTCTGACCGGTTCTAAAAATAAATAAAATGATAGATGTCCAGCGAGTTACCTAGACTACTAGTCAACCGGTACCAATAGCACCTACACAAACTGTACACATGTAGTCTACTTCTATCTTTGATTAGTTCTGCACAAAAGCTTTAAGAAGAACTGACTATGGTAGATTACAGTCCTACTTTAGGCTGTTAGCAGTCTGTCAACCAACTAATCAAGATAAAAATAAACTACAGTGAGCAGATGTATGCGCAATGGATAAAATAGTGTTGCTCAGTAGAGTTCACAATTGGAATCCCCTTCCCCTGTATCCAACGTACCTATGAGCATCATCAAGCTGCGGTGTCTAAGGTGTGCAACCACGGCCCACCCCTGTGCCCAAGAATTATGCTTATGACCAGTCCTGCCCTTTATTTACCCTCGCGTGCAACGAGCCTTACGTCTAACTGATCTGGCTGATCAAGAGGCAATTTAACGACAGCCCCGACAGTCCTCAGGAATTCTTTAACGTCGCAATCAGGAGGACGATCACAGCCAGTGGACAGTTCAGACCCCAACCAGAAATGTTTATAGACGGTCTGGAAGCGTCTACGTAGGACTGGTCAGTCCGCACACCCCTTCTATCAGCGCAGCAAAGAGCCTTAATGGACAAAGCAGCATGGCCTGTGTGTACTAATATCCATGGGTTGGCATGGTGACCGTGACCCGTGCTTCGACCAGGGCCCTTCAGAGGCACCGCCCTCTCCTGCCAGATGCGCCACCGAGAAGAATGTCGTCTCTCAAGATAAGAGAGCACATGACTCCTTTGAAAAGAGAGGACACTCAAGTTGGACTCAATTCCTCACGGTAAGACGAAATTGAGAGGGTAGATAAGGAATGGGAACAACGTACCTGGAGATAGCTGCCCCCAACCACAGATTTCTCACCAATTGGGCCGACGTGCATTTCGATGACCGGTCATTAGCCTCAGTACCACCCACAACGTAATGCAGTGCCACCTCAGCCAAAATGCCACGCCACAGCTCCCACGCTCTCGCCACAGCATTCCAGCGGCCGGCCTCTCCAGCTAGGCCCCGCTAATCAACCAGCACCAAAGTATCCTTACTGCACATGAAGCATCGTCAGCGCACCAAGTAACAATGTCGCCGGTGCCAGGTAAGCGGCGATCACGAACCAGCTCCGATACCAAATTGCAAGGAATATGAGTGTGAGCGATGTACAAGAAACCAAGTTGCGAAATCACACAGTTGTCCAAGTCGTAACCCTAGCAGAGCGTACAAATGCACCGAGAAAACCATCCATATAGAGCAATACAATGAAGTAATGAGCCAATGTTGAAGCCCGTAGGCCACACCAACACAGTATCCAAGGTCGCTCTGCTCTGTCTGGCGCTCAGCGCCCAGCCTACTCTACCTGACTAGCCTACCTACAGCTGGTTCACGCAACAGGATCACTTCGACTCTCGAAGACCAATGTACATGACTGCCAACACCATCGCCAGGTACGTATCTCGCCACCCTCAATCAGACCTTGATTACCCCACACAGCGCCTCCTTCCCTGAAGACCACCAGATCATCCGCTGTACCCCCTGGCGCCCAGCAGCCCGGCTATGGCTGCCTGCGCCTCGCTGCCCTGCAGCGCCCCACTACACCTCTACGCGCCCCGTCAGCGCCCTTGCCAGCAGCGCAGCATCAAGCGAGAGCGCAGCAGCACTTCTGCATTGCCAGCGCTGGCCAGCGTGCCTGGCCTGGGCTGCCTCACTCCTTTTGTGGAAGTGGCAGCCTCCTGGATGCTGCGTGTGGCCTGGCCGGTTGGGTCCCAGACCCTGCGCCCAGGCCCGAGACTACAGTTGAGGGGCTGGGCCTTTTACAGTTAGGCACGGCCTGAGTCTCCGGACTGGGGCTGTTTGCTGCATCTGTGCAGGGCTCCCAGGCAGGTGCATCGGCACTACTGCTTTTGCAAAGGTCGAAGGCCTGCTTCCCAATGTATCGGCCCTGCTTTGTGTATGTGTGCCCAGGCGCAGCTGTCAAGGCCTGGGCCAACTGTATGACGCAGCAATGTGAGGCTCGTGCATCTACCCAACCAACCGGCGTGCTGCCAGAGCCCTGAATACCCACATATGAAAATGTCGAATTTTGCCTCTGACGAATATTCAGGCCCGCCTTCACTTAGGGCGGGCACTTTGGCTTGCTGGGGACCTTAGCCCAGAACAAGGGGATGTCTGATAAGGCCCCTTGAGGGCTTGTTCTTACATAAAAGTTGGGGGGTGGAGAAGGAAATATTCTATCCCTGACACAATGCGTTCACACAATTACAAACAGAAGTACGGCAGTTCTACAATTCCAAACCCATGTGTGCTGGGCGCTACTCATGTGGTGTCAAGCAGAAAGCATACAGGTACATGTGTCAAACGGGATCAAAGGTAATCGGATGTCAGAAGACATATACATTATATTCTACACTTTCCAACTTTTCGGAAGTTTTCGCAGTATTTATCCACTGTTCAGTTGACCATGAAATCCAATTTTCCCAGATCAGCAAACTTCAGAGTCGAGTGGGACCCCGCAGACGGTCAATAAAACCCTATGTCATGAAAGGACCTGCCATGCAGTTAATGCAGGAATAACCGAGGATGAAAAAAACTGGAATGAGATGCAGACGGCAACCAATATTGTACTTTCTCCTCCTTCAAACTTCACATTTCAATTTTCAATTGTTCAACAGATCTTGTTTAACTTAGAAGAGAGAGAGAGAGAGAGAGAGAGAGAGAGGATCACATCATACTTTTCTCTTCCCAGAAACTTCAAATTCTAATAGAACACTGCACAGAGACAAGGACGGACGAATATGCCAGGAAGGAATGAAGGATGGACAGCTGTAAGGAGATGCAGAGGGGGGTCACACCATAATTTCCTCCTCCAAGCAAACTCACATTCTAACAGAACACTCCATAGAGACACGAAAAAAAGAATAAGCGCGAAAGGAATGATGGATGGACAGCTGTAATGAGATACAGATGGTGATCGCATCACACTTTCCCAGCTCGGAATAGGACTTTCGGTGCGGCTGAAATGAAGATTTAAATCAGGCATGCATAACCAGACCAGCTATGAAGCTTTCACATGCCAGTGAATGAAGGGCCAATATTACAGAGGCAGGAGTGAAGTGGATGGACAGTTTTCATGAGATTACACACCAGCTTCTCCTCCGCCTTCATTGGTACAACAGGGGCCGGCGGCACATGAACCTCTTCATAGCCCTTGAAAACCTTCCTGCTACTGCCTGACGGCAACCCTGTTCCCCCTGTACTCCCTGCAGCCCCATCGCCTGTGCCGATAGCCCTGTCTATAATGTCCTCCTTCCTCTCTTCTGCAGAGACCAGCGCCTGGAAACCTCCAGCCCTGAACAACCAGCCAAGCTCTGGATCAACTGTAATCCCTCCCTTTTTCGCTTGCCTTCTCCCCTCCTTGCGCCGGATTTTGTCCAATTGGCGGTCAGTCTCACTCTGCACACTGACCTGCAGGGGAAAAAAGAAAAAAAAAGTCACTTGACCTTCGGAACACGGGCTGCAAAACCCAACATGCAGGTCGTTCATTTGTCCAAGGTTCGACATACCCTTCGTCCTGGAGCATCGACTCTCTTCTGTGAACAAAAGTTCATATAAAACTCCCCCTCTCACTGGGCAGCACGAATGCACAGTTCATTTAAGACTTTCTTTTTTTAAGATCCATTTGAAAATTTGGAAAAGTGGCACAACTGTAGCGTGATACTCCACAGTCTTCACATGCCGGCAAGACATGCTCTTGACGAAAATGGGATAGAAAAAACGGGAAAAAAAAAAAAAAAACAGCCTCTGAAACGACAACACACACACACACACACACACACACACACACTAACAACTAACAAAGAGAAAACCTTCCTCAAGGATCAGAGGCAGGAACAGAAAAGATTAACACAGGCGAAAAGTGAGAGCTTCCAGGGTAAGTATGGCTTGTGGAGCAGGGCCAGCGGCCTAGCTCAGTTGGTAGAGCACGCAAGTGGCATTCAGGAGGTCGTGGGTTTGATTCCCACGTCGTCCGCTCAATTCCCCACGGCCGCTGCGGAGCACTTCGGGTTCAGCTGAGATAGTTGGCTTGCGCCCCCTTGATGGTCTTGG